GACTGATTATATAATATTTATGAAACAAAATATGATGTGGACATAAAAAACGTAATTAAGTGTATAATCTTTTCGGAACAAAATAGTGGCAAAATCAATAAATATGTCTATTACATAAAATTTATAAGCAAGTGCGCAAAGTGTTTGGAAAATATAGTCCTCCAGTACCACCCAATCACATGCAAAACCCCTCCGTGCCGTATCTATTTCTTCTTCTTTGATATCTGAATAACTTTGTTTTTCACTTCATCAAGCTTGTTTCTTTCCGAAAAGATAAGTTGCGCAATCATTACCTCTCTCGAATCATCAATTGACCTCTAAAAAAAGTGGTGTTAGCACAGCGTTCATTGTACATCGTAGTCCAAACATGACTTGCGTACCTGTGAAAATAAGCCTGTCCATTTGTCATCATCCCAATATTGAAAGCATCGAAGGAGAAATATTCCACACGAATTCCTAGTGCATACAATTTACGAAGATTAAATATCTATTGTACATACAGGACCGACATTCTGTCAAAGTAAGAACTCACCCATCATGTTGTTTTGGCATGTCATACGTTTGAATAGGCTAATTGGAAACATCCGGATAATTCACAATTCCGGTTGCATTTGCTTCTTGGATATCTTCTGCTAGTTGTTTTCTCTAAAGATATAATAAACATGGTGGAAAGAATGTCATTCAGTGTACTAAAAAAACGAATGTTACCAAATGCACATTTGAAAGTTAAACCTACCAGGTCCTCAACGGATTCTCTAGTAACACTGTCAAGTTTTCCGGTCATCAATGAGTCAAGAACCCGAAACTCTCTCTTCCCGCGATGCATGACGACAGTAATCCAGTGAGTGTTTTGCTTGTTTAGAGGAATGTAAGTCTGCATCACAAGGACCATAAAACACAATCAACACATACTATCGTATGTATGTACCATGTAACCAATCAAACTTACCTTTGATTTTTTGAAATACTCGTCCTCACATCTATTCACGGGTCCATTACTATGCGACTCTGCTTCATAATCGTTACCGGCGGTCTTCTTTCCGGGTCTAATATGAAGTAACCAATGTATCCTCCAAGTTGTCAACATGAAACGATCATCATTAACTTTGTCGACCAAATATGATGAGTATGCATTAATTACCTATAAATAATGTGTTAGATTTAACAATGGTATTTTCGAATCAATTGTAAAAAAAAATATGAAATTAACTTGCGTCGCCACTTAGCCACTCATGGTTAATAATCTGACAAGCTCTCCGCACAGTGAGACCTTCTTCCATGCTATCATTGAAAATTTCTGTTTTGGCATGTTTTTCTGAATACTCATGCGCGCGCACGTACTTGATGAACGCTTTCACCACATCATACTCATCACTAGATTTGTTAACACCACCATTTTGGAACAATTCTGTAACGCACAACTCAAATAATTATAAACGCAGATATATAAATAATTATTACGCAAGAACAATTAGAAACACAAAAACTTACTTCCTTTCGCTGAACGTTTTGCACGCTTGTTCGGTTTAGGGACCACATAAGGAGACTTGACATGTTGTGATCCTTTGTGCTTGCGCCTGCTAGTAACCTCCTCCACTTCCTCTTGTACTCCTTCAGAACCAAGCGACGCATGCGATGCGATTTCGTCCGTCCCTAAAGATGTGGCAGCTTTTTCATCTGATACTTCTGGTACTTGGATAGGATCATCCATATCACCCTTGAAACTATCCCAGTACTCAGGTGTGCAGTAAAAAGGTGTGTTTCCACGAGAAGTTACATCAACACCGTCATCATCCTTTTGCACATTCTTTTTGGAAGGTGTGCGGAACCGGTCTGAATCATCTTTTTGATATACAAACTCTTTTTTCGGACGTCCACCATCGTTTGAAGACTCATTAATGCCTCCGTACAGATTCTCTTCGTCCTCTTCCAGGTTACTGGGTTTGTAGAAGACGTCGGTTTTGTTTAGTTTCTCAATCATCCTCTGCAAGAAAACATTTCATCTTAGTTCTTCAATTCAGTGATGGACATTAAAATGACGTGCTCAAGTGTTACCTGTGCGCATAACTCTGGCAAACGAAGCATTTCCTTCCGAAGCTCATTCATCTCACTCAAAATCCGGTCCATAGTAGGCTTCTGGCTCGAAGCCTCCGAGGTACTGCCCTCTTTCCTCGTTCCAGTAACGTTAGATTTTTTACTACTAGCTTTCTTGGTTTTTTGAGCTTCTTCTTCTGCAATTTTTTTCAGCCTATACTCCTCTGTAATGTTGTCATCGATCTACAAATGCAACAAGAGAATTATACATACAAACCATATGCACACTTAACTTTATTTCATAAATGTAAAAAAACATGATTACTAGGATTACCATCCCAACACCACGACCATATTCATAGTCGTATTTGTCTCTTCTCACAGCCATATCTTCCGTCCAGTTCCTCATCAGCGGGTTCAACAATGCCAACGGATCATATTTTGGACCGGTGATTGGTTGCACCTTCTCCCAGTATAGGTACTGCAAAACACATAAACTAATTAAATTACATGTTCTTCCTTGACATTTTATAACAAAAGTGTTGAAATTAATAAATACAACGTACTTGCAAAAGGGCGAGGTTCCCCTGGGGCCACTGCCTAACATGGCCGTCCTGCAGAAGCTTACCAATCTCCGACAAATAGAATCGTGAAGTGAATGCATTCCAGTTGAACTTCCTTATCAACTTAATATTTTGCATTAAGGCATAGTATTTTTTCGGAACGTATTCATGAGACACCGGTGGAATTATAGTTCCTAAGAGAACTAGAAATGTCATCCCAATAAAGTCATCATCAGTACTCTTATTCTTCACAATCTTTTATATGAGATCATCAATCATGATCTTACCATTTTTCTTGCTAACAAAGCTAACTGGTATTTTTTTGGTTGCTTTTCTGCCAGCACCAACTAGTGGATTTTGTCAGGTGGCAGGATTTTGTTTCAAGTCACACAATTTTGAGCCTCGCTATACAGACGATAAGTTTATGGCCGGCGTCTGCACGATCGTACGTGGAGGGCCAACACCCAGCCTGCACCTTCGTTTTCCTTTTTTAGCTTATGCTAGTGTTGTTGGGGACCAAGTATCGTTTGCAGATCGTGCATGAGGTGTCGCCTGTGAAGCAATTTCGCACAATTTTTGTTTGTCGATTCTAAAGATTTAGTTGTGCCCCATATGCGCCATGAAGAGTGAGGACAACTTTTGCAAACGAACATGCATGTTTCCTTATGATGTTCCCTTCTTTATTGTCGGCGTGTTGATCATGCATTATGCATTGCAGATGAATTAACTGGTTCAGAAGAGGTAATACATGAGATAGAATACAATTCTAATGGAAATGAATAAAAACAATCCAGAGAAACCATCTCACCCCCGCGTTGCATCTCTCCTCCCTTGCCTCTCTCCCATTGCCATCGTCGGAGGACGCCGCCAGGATCAGCCCACACGGCAAACGGCGGCGGCGACGGGGCCTCTTCTTGCTCGATGGTGGACGCTCGTGATGGGGGAGGCTAGTCCCCCCTATTGCGCGATCCAGAGTCTGCGGCCCTGTCGCGACTCAATGAGCTTCAGCCAATAGCTTCTCTCCGGCATCCTCCTCCTAGAGGTTTCTCATCCCCATGTTCTACTTTGGTCGGGCACCCCAGTGCAATCTACATCGAGGGCATCTGGAAGCATCTCCGACGATAACGCAGTGGTGGCTCGACAGATTCTGCCCTCCCGTGACCTTACATACGTTGTACAATCCACTAATAGCTATTAGTCGGACATACTTTATGGCCAATTGTTGCACAACAGGTTTTTTGCTTTCCCTCTTCCTTGGCATGACATGTCAGATTTTATCTCTTGGAGCTACACGAAAAGTGGGATGTTTTCGCTTTGATCAGCTTAAATCGTGGAATGGGATCATTAACATGGGAGAAAACTACATGTACTAACGGTATGGGGCAGACCAGAGTTAACCCTATTTGGTGTAAGATTTGGAAGCTAGCGTGCCCGAGAAAGGTTAATTTTTCCATTTGGTGTACATGCACGCTTGTGGCCTAGAAAATACAAAGGACTTATTTCATTGTGACAAATGCAACAAAGGTTTGGATAAGGGTAGGATGGACGATATTATTAAAAGAGCATGTGAAGTCGATCATACTGGTGAGGCGGTTCTAGAGTTCTTGCTTTTACGAGATCAGGAGTTGTCTGTTATGGGTATCCAGAATCCTCATGAAATGATCGCCATTACTACTTGGTATTTCAAATAACTACACTACCAACTAATACTATTGCTTCCTCTCCAAAGGCTACAATGAAAATATTCAAAAAAAAAAAGGCTACAATGAAAAGGTAGGGTTGGATCCGCCCAGCCACTGGTTTTGTAAAACTTAATGTTGATGCATCCTTTTTATCAAGACTTGCTTAGGAACACCACAGGGACGGTCCTGTGGGAAGATAGCGAAAAAAAAATCACTGCTATGTGGAATTGCAAAATTGACAGATGAGAGACAACCAAATTAGGTTTATCCCTTGCCCAAAGGGCGGGTTACAATCAATTTATTAACTATGACAATTTGGATGTCATTGACCCCATGAGGAATGGTCAATCTGCAAGAGGGGCAGTGACAGTTTTCAACAATTGCTATTACATTGTTTGTAATTTTCCCTTTGAATGAAATTGCAAACATGCTCATAAATGATGTAACTGTTATTTCAGATGATGTTTTAAAAAATACAAAGAAAATGGTCCTTGATAAAGGTATCGGTCTCTTCAGTCTTACTGTTGATTACTCATTTTTTAGAACTTTGCACCGGAAACTTTTCTAAGAGAGCAGCCTTACTGTGGTCCACAAATCTATTCGGTGTCAGTTTACGCATATACTATAACTTAGTCTGGTATAGGTAGAATATAAGATTTTCAGTTCGCCTTGGTAGTCGGAACAGATCTTGGTCAGGTTGCCACTCTGCAGAAAACTGCTACTAGTAATCAGTGTCATGATAATCATCATAGACTCCGCCACCACCCTCATCAACATAGCCTTCATAGTTGTAATCAGCATCGTGACCATAGTCGTAACTAGCATCAAATGTTTCACCATAACCGATATCCTGTTCATATTCCTCGTCAAAGTGTATGTCATCTTTGCCATTTGCTTTGCCAACTTCATCTTCAGTCTGCACGTAGACTCTCAGTAAGCATTTGAATGGCAGCAGATATACAAGTAAACAAGATATTTATTTTGATGTTGGAGCATTTACAAAAGAACATTGCATGAATTTTAGGGTACAGAAATCTATCAAGCTCCAGTGAACATAAAAGGAGAAAACATACATTGTACAATCCACTAACAGCTTCAACATTGATTTTTGACCCAAGTCCCTGCAGAAGGAGCAATGTCACACGTTAAATGCTACTAGTTCGTTTGCACACAAAGTTTAACATGTAACTATAATAGTCACACGACATATATTTTGGATGTCTATTGCTGTACAAAAGGTGCAGTACCTTCCGTTTCAACATGTTGCATGTTGCTTCTGCTGGTGTTTCAGCAGGTGTGGAGTTCTTGTCCTCCTTACGTTTCCGTTTCTACATTTAAAAAGACACCTGGCTAATCATGAACTGTACCGAAAATAGTAAAGATGTGTACACAGGACGCTTGGGCTACACTAGAAACATTTCATACCTTCGGTTGTCCCTCTCCAACAGATATACCTCTCGCTGCCAATTCAGCCGCTAAAGCTTCCTTTGCAGCTTGTTCCTGTGAAAGAGGTCAGCATATATTTACACCCTGTTGTCAGGACAAGAAACTGCCCCATTATGATAACTACCTCTAGGTATTCTTTGTTCATTTCCTCCCAGATAACCTTTTTGTTCTGTGTTTCTTCCTCGTTGTGAAGATACCCGTCAACCTGCAATTTTGCCAAATATAATAACAGGAAATCAGAATGAACGGTCATATCTCAGGCTCTAACAATATCAGAAACATCTCATGGATAAAAAATACCTCCACATCATCAATATCAGAAAGATTTTCAGGATCAGAATCAGCTTTACCATTTTCACCTAAGGGTGCAACATAACATCAGCAAGTTGATTGGCCATCAGCTTGGCAATACAAACCAAAAAGGGGAAATGACATTATTGTTGCAGAGCACTATCATATTACAGGAACCAACAAACCTTCCACTTCAGGATCGATGGGAGCTTCAAAATCATTTGCAGTTTGACTGGAACAACCTGTCGAAGATTTGCCTACACAGTTCTGTTCAAAGAAGTCAAACTGAGTCACTGGACGTACAAATGCACATCAAGCACACTGAGTGAACTATAAGGGAAACAACTAGACCTAGTGCAGATGTATTAAAGAGATCTTATACTCCCTCCGTTCCAAAATGTAGTGCGTATAGATTTTCTGAAAAGTCAAACTAAGCAAACTTTGACCAAGTTTACAGAGAAAACAATTTATATATACAATTCCAAACATATACAACATGAAAATATAACTGAGGATGTTTCAATGATATGCATTTGGTATTTTAAATGTTCATATTCTTGTCTATAAACATGGTCAAAGTTTGTAATGTTTGACTTTTGAAAAAACCTATACGCACTAGATTATGGAAGGGAGGGAGTACATGATGTTAGCGCAATACAACAAATGCCAAAGTTGAGCAATAAAATTAGATTATGCCGGTTCAAATATTCCATTAAAAGATTGCACCAAAAAGACCGCTAGTCTGGTACATTCCAGGTTTGGATGTGATGGGTATATTTTTTTCCCATCCTGCAACACCCTTTGAGCGCAACAAAAGATGGAGTACAAATATATAAATAAAGAGAAGCAGGTTCACCACTAGATGATTTGAGATGCTTGTCAGCAAAGAGAGCTTGCCTCTCCGATTTCATTTAGAGAAATCAAATGTTCACAGACTCCAGGACAGAGTTTTGCAAGATAGCAAGGAAAACTCTGAGATTACTTAGAAACCTCACTCTCAAGCTCCAAACTACGGTTCAGGAATATAATCTAGATGTAAAGATGAAACTTGAATGTTTCTTGTAACAAAAAGGAAAACAAGTCATCGATGTAACTAATAGACATCAAAAGTAGTAAAAATGGATTTGTCAGGGATGTGCAGTCAACTGATGAAAAAGAATCTTCAAATAGCTTTGGGTGAATGATGACAATAATTTAAAAGTAGTCGATAATAAGAGTGGAATTTCTTAGTTGATAATTACAGTTGAAAAAGATAGTTTCTCAGATTAATAGGGTAAGAAGCATGGGTTTAAGTATGTTCAGAAACTACTACCTTCCCAGGGCTCATGATGTTATGCTCAACATCAGAACTATGTAACTCACATAATGTTGTGTCGACTACAGAAGAATCCTTAGCTCTTTTAGCAGCAGCATGTCTTTTTTTTTCAGCTCGCTGAAAAGCTGGAGGGTCAGCACCACCCTCCAGTCCACCTGACAGCTCAGTGAACTGACCAATCAAGTCATGTCAGTAGTGAATGAAGCATAAAAACCAAGGCATTACAAACATCGTAAATGTGAGTTACATTGTAGTAGCATTCCTCGCAAAGTCCATGAGAAAAATGCTCAGCACCCTTGTGCTCACAAAGGACGTCTCCATACTTGGCTGAACATTTTGGAACCGTCTCTTCATCAGCCTTTGCCAAAAAATCTTCAATCTACCATGGGGGCATGAAGATACAAATCAGAAGTGATGGTATACTATAAATTAAGTTCTTACAAAAAAAGTTTGTACATAAAATTAATGTATGAGCTATAAATGCAGTTGACGATTTAAATGTTGAAGCCCCTCCAATATCTAATCCTGATGGGCAATTGCATTTGCATTCTATCGTAAACAGAATGGCCTTGGAGATCAGTGTCATCAATTCGCCCATGATCAGCAGGACAAATAGGTACTAGGTTTGTGCCAGAAAAGTGTCCTTTGTGACAGGGAAAGATAGGCGACAGAAAGATATTCATCAGCTATGGGATTTGACAGGTATCGGTGTCGAACAGAGGGTATGTTCACAAAGCATCCCATTTATGTTGGCATGCTATGTGATCTGCATAGAGGTCATGACAGGTAATTATATGTTTGTAGTAGATATGATAGAAGCACACAGAAATGAAAGGGAATGACAAATGGTCTAGAAGATAAATAGGAATAGCACCTAAACTGGCTATCTGAAAAGATGAAAGGAAGTAAACACATGACGTCGATTCAATGACAGCTGGATGATAGTTTAGTTACTCAATTTGAGTATGTTTGAGAACTGACGGCCTGAGTGACTTTCCCCAAATAGAACAATCAAACAATATTGCACCACTGACCATTATGGTGTGCCAACAAATTAAAATAACACTCACTAGTTTTCAGTCACCTGAAATTTTCATGTCTTTCGGTCATCAACTAACATTACACAATAATGACACAACAAACTAAAATAACGTTATTAGAAAAAGGGTCACTGACAGGCGATCTGTTCCTGTTAGATGAGGTGCATTGCTGATGGTCGTGCAGCGTCCATACTGACTGCCCACCGCAACATTGTGAAATCTCCATTGACGAGCGAAGAAAGTGCCTGTCAGCAGTATGCGGACCAGCAACCCTGGTCGACAACACTACTGGCAGCATGCCTTCGCTGATGAGTACAACATGCCTGCCTGTCAGTGATTCTCCCATCATCACTGACGGACAAGCATGTGTGCCTGTCAGTGATATCATCTCGTCAGCAGGCGGCAAATTTCCACTGAAAGTCGCTAGGGTGTCACCCGTCACTGAAAAGGCCCAAAAAAGCTCACGTACCTTTTTTTGATTGTCAAACTACGGTATAATTTTGATGGCCAAAACAGCCTACATACCTCACCCCTCGCCTCTACAAAAACTTGTTGGGAAACCCCAAGGTCCCTCATCCCCCCTCCCCCAGATTCCCTCGCATCCCCTTTCACCATCACACCACCGCATCCTCGGCTACGCCGGATCCGGAAGCATGGCGACAGCCGTCATCCTTGCCTTTACCAACTACGCAGGATATGGCGGTGCGATAGTCCTGTCCTTTCCAAGCCGCAACAAGTGGGTGGCCATGGTGTCATCAACCCTCCTCTGCAGCATCCGGTGGTGCTCCGGTCTATCCCTCTCAATTCGCCGCGGGGTGGCCATGGTGCCAGCACCCATAAGGCCAAGGCAATGAGGGTTCCCACCGAATTCCAATGCGCCTCCACCGAAGCCTCCATAATCGAGCTGGCTCACCTAGCCTTGTCCTTGTTTCAGCTTTGTTGTGCCAGTCATCGAGCCATAGCTCTATTGTGGGTCCGAGCCATCGAGCCAAGGCATATGTGGTTGGCTGCCATCGAGTTAGGCATTTCTCGTGTTTCATAATAACTAATAACTTGTAAAAAAGATCTTTTGGTAGGCACCAAGTGATGATGAGCAAGTCAAAGATACGATAACCTAGCTAGATCTGTAGGATAGCTAGATGAAGGTAGATTAGTGCATGATTTTTCAAGACCTGCAGGATGGTAAATGGGTGACCCAGCCTCCAATATGTGCTTGCCTTGCTATGGAACTTAGGGAACAACGGAGGGGAGGTGCAATCAAGTATATCTTTGTCGGCGAGATCGATGCGCTTGAGCACTTCTCATTGTCCTGCTACATTCTTTCCTAAGTTCCACGATTAAGCACACACACCTATAAGCTGATGGGGTTGTACTCATTTATTTCGCTCCTGGAAGGGATGTTTTTGGAATATCACAGTGTAAGGAATGAAATGTATTGATGAACATATCTAAGAATTGTTTCTTAGAAGGGCAGGTCTGATCAGTACTGATGAACATATGAAATGTATTGATGGAACCTAAGGCTGTCTAGAAATTCCTTTCCCCAGACCCCATCTTGTGTGGGAGCTTTCAGCACTGGGTACACCTTTTCTTTTGTATGAAGTGTTTCTTAAGATGAATCAGTATATATGCAATGTTTGTTGTAGTGATCTATTGTGAAATGCATGTATCTATATGGAATGTGTGTTGTAGTGTATGTGGAATACAATTGTATATGAAATCTGTGCAATAATAAATTAAAAAAAATACTGAAAAACTTTTGGTAAACACACCATGACGGGCAGGCATGTTCACTGGTGAAATCACCCCGATGGGCAAACTTGGAGTGCCCGTCAATGGGACTCACCCTTTACTGACGGGTGGAGTGCTTGGATGGACGCACAACTGAAGTTTGGTGACTGAGTCCCACTGACGGGGGGAGTGCTTAGATGGACACATAACCGAAGTTTGGTTGCTGACAGGTGCCCTGCGCCCCTACCCATCAGCGGAGGGATTTAAGCGCCGATTAGTGCTGTGCCGTTCTGAAGTAGTGTAAGAGATATCTAAGTTTTTGTTCTACTTGTTTCTGTATTTGTAGGGATTAGCCTATGTTTACTTTATTGTAGCCTAGGTTAGACAACTTCTTGTCTTAGTACTTTCTAAACAGTGAGTTTATATAGGATGTAAGTAATTACTGATGAGAATGATTATATTTCAGAAAAATGCAAGTCATTTGATAATAGTCAACCCACATTTGGCTATTCATGGGGAGCACATACATACCGTTAAGCTACCAGAATCTGTATTTTCAAACTCTACTAAGCGCTTAGATAGCGTTGCCTCACAGACATGCACAACAGCAGCCTGAAAAAGATAAAACATAATTAGTGCCATTTCATATTTGAACCTACATTACACACATATGGTGCTTCCTACCTTTCAATGCTACCAACACCACAACGTCACAAAAAACTGGGATACATTTTGACAACATTAACAAAAGATGCACCTACCAAGTAACAAGATCTCAAAATTCGAGGAACATTTGAGAAATAGAAAAAGACAATTTTTTCCTTAGAAGACATGTATTGTCAATGCTGAAAATATGTTTCAGAAATTTCTACATTATTTGTGGTGCCATGCTCGCTGGTTGCACATGAAGTAGCAAATGGATAGGACGCACCATAGGCTCTCAATAGTGCTGCATATGCAATAAATACTACTCCCTCTGTAAACTAATATAAGACGTTTTAGATCACCACTACTTTATAGCTAGTACATAACTACAAAGGAAAGACGTTCTGGATACAACTCTTGTGTAAGTAGATCCATCTGGACCCTGCAAAAAAAAAAGTAGATCCATCTGGAGCATCTGGGCTTACAATATCTGCCTTGGTGTAATCATATCCGTGAGAAAGTGCCGCGATATATAATGCTGCACCACATAAACCACTTGGCTTCCTCCCAGTCTGCTAAGACAAGACAAGCTATTACCAGCTTACAAAAGAACGAAAATAAGAAACTAGAATGACAAAGATACTAGCCTGCATCCAGTCTCGCTTCATGCTAGCTACAATGCGTAAAGCTGTGTCCGAGACAGCATTGTCCCTTTTTCCCAGTAAACCTACATGTTACCAATAATAGAGAAAAATCATAAAAATAATAATAGCATGTTGATTCTCTTTGCTAACTAATGTAGTTGTCCTTCTAGCCTTCCATATGAAAGCTATGCTTGGCAAAACTAGAAATCTTGACCGCAAAAATAGATCCCATGATTTATGTACACATTATTTTGAATATGTTGTCTTCCAAGAGTTTAAAATTGATAGCATTGATGATAAACAGTTTTTATACTTCCCGGAAAAAGGCACACTCATTTATATGTTCAAGTATTCAATGCAAAAGAAGCAAACATCTAGACTTCATAACCTTGCTCCCTTAAGTTCTCCCATGGGCTAATTTTTCCATGCTTGCCGAGTGCCGACGCAATAAGGATTCAAGAAATCTAAACATGTCTGAAATCTCATACAACGAAAGGTAAGGGTCAACCATCCTGGCATAACCCACAAAGAACTACCTTATCACAACAGAAACAGAAAAGGAACGTGAAGAATTGTGAATGCTCTGACAATCCTTGATGTAAATAAGTATCTTGTACGGAGGGAGTATGTAAGTAGAAGCATTCTGTATATTTATTATATAACAAATGCACATGTATGTCAACTTACGTTCAGTAAAACGATGGATGAAAAGGCTAGGATCTACAAGCTTTTGAACAATTGGGTGTTCTCCGAGTAACAAAACCTGGCAAAGCTGCAGAAAAACACCACCTAGGACATAACTGAAACATAAATCAAGATGAGCCCTTTCAGTGAGGGGTGCAAGATAGAGGGCATGAGAGTGCGAGTACTTACACACTTATTTGCAAATGGTCTGAGAAATCAATAAGAAGATAAGGTTTTTCACCTCGCCTGAAAAAACAATATTTAAAATATGCGCACTTCCTTGATGATACCAAAAGGACAATCAATGTACAGGGAAACACCAACACAAGCATAAAAGGACAAGAGATTTCAGAGACAGGAAAAAACAAAAGAAAGCAGAAAAAAGATTGTTTTTAGGACAGCAATAAACACTGAAACATAAGCATGTAGTGTGCCTTCTATTGGACGTGACCTAAGTCTACAAGGCACCACTTTGACTGCTAATTTCTATCACAAAAAAAATGTTAATTAGAATCATATAAAGCATATATACTACAAAAGTGCATTTCCTGATGAATCTATTGGAAACAGTTTCATGTGGATAGGGTAGATACCTAGCATCTTAGATAATGATGGTCAAAGTAAAAAATGACTTAACCAGTATAGATGAGACTTGCCTAGAAATTGCAGTTTGTAACGTAACAAACTAGAAACAATAGTTGGCGATTCCTAAACATTAGAAGAAAATAGCAAGTGTGTGAACCTAGCAGAATTTTGCATGCATATTTCTGGAGAAGATTAGAAGTCTTGTAGTTTACACACTTGAAGTCTTGCCATTTTGGTTTTATTTCTTGCTCTTTGATGAACCTCACAAGTCCAAGGCACAATATGGCATTCTATTGCATTTTGAAAACTACTATAAAGGCACACTTCTGCAGGTTTTCACTACAAACTTAAGGGCATCCTTGGTTTGAAAGCCAATATTTGGCAATAGCAACTTTTTCGAGGTTGGCAAGGCAATTTGGTAGCAACTTTTTTGGCCTTACCCAAACATTGCCAAGCCAAATTCTGGCATCAAACAAAGCAGACATAAATGAACCCCAGCAGAGGCCATATCCTAACAAATACAACACAGAATACTAAAAGGCCCACCCATAAGTGCAAAGGGAGAAGGTCATGTTTGAACAAGAAATAAGCCCAATGTATAGGAAGGCTTTCAACATACTCCCTCCGTCCCAAAATAAGTGTCTCAACCTTAGTACAACTTTGTACGTACTAAAGTTAGTACAAAATTGAGACACTTATTTTAGGACAGAGGGAGTAGTTAAAAAAGCACGCCTAGCGCATAAGCGTGCGCTTTGGTCGGAAAAGCGCAAGGCGGGCAAAACGCACAATTAACGCCTATTGTTTTTTAACTATGTTTTCAATACAGCAAGGGAGTAATTACGTGACAGCTTACCGGCAGGCAATGTAAAGACAAGCGGCTGCAACGTGACTTGTTCGACGTCCCTTAGTAAAGTCATTATCAAGAGCTAGCTACATTTAAATGAATAAATATCAGCATTGGAAAATAACCTGCCATTTTTGGAAGGACAATGTTTGTGTGATAACAAAGATTCATACTTTATAAAAGTTATGAGCAGTGCAAATGATATCATCTCCACCGCTCACATGCAAACCATGGACAATCTGCCAAATCTCATCTCTCCCTGGTGAAATAAAGCACATCATAAATCCTAAGTGTGCATAATGAGATAAGATAGAAGAAATGCAATGAAAGAGATGCCTTTTGCTTCAGTTCTTTCACGGGATATAGAACAGCCACTCCCAACGCCTTCAATTATTTTTCCAGCCATTTCGCTCTATTCACATTCAAAACAAATCAACCAACAGTTACACATCCAAATAAAGAAACCAAATATAAATAATAATAATAATAACCTAGTAATAATAATAATAATAATAATAATATAATAATAATAATAGTAATAAAGGGAGCAATGCTTCTGCCCATCCGTCATGATTTTTGCAGAAAACCCCCTGTTTTTTGAAATCAACGCGCAGTCCTATTTTAAGTGTGAGAAAATGATTCGCCCTTTTTTTAGAAACCCCCTGATCTTTTGGTTAATTCACCCAGGGTCCTATTTTAAGGGAGAAAAATGATTTGCTTTTTTCAGAAAACCCCCTGATCTTTTGGTTAAGCAACCCATGGTCCATCTATTATTTTTGGGCAGATTCAAATGCTTTAAAAAAATATCCATACCTTTTAAACCCTAACTCCAATTTTGACATGTTATATATGGAAATTGATTAGAAAAATGTGCAGAATCTGAATATGATATTGTTTTACCTGTTAAACATTTTAAAAATACTATTGAGGGTGCAACCTTAATCAATAGCGCATGATCTGTCTTTCTTTCATACCGGTATAGATTCTGATTGGAAATCAACACCTCAGCAAAATCAGTTTGGAGAAGAAAAAAATCATCCATAACCATGCATGCACACCTTGGCAAACCCTCCAGGTGAAAAAAAAAACAAATTTCTCATCTTATGCAGAGAGGGAGAGAGACCTTAGAATTGACCAAATTCAAACGCATTATGATTAATTGAGCACTGAAGCCACTGTCTACAAGGGTGGGAATGAGGGTAAAAGACAACACAGATGGGATGCATGTGGTCCTATTGGGGTCTTCAGTCATGGTTATTGTGTTAGGGACGTGTGGTATTTTTTTCCCCCGTTGCAACACACGGGCTCTTTTGCTAGTATAAAAGCGCGGCACCAAGACCAACCTGTCCCGAGGAGTTCTTGACAAAAGTAGGCCCAACCTCAAAAATGTGCTCATCAAAAACCTTCCCGCACATTCCACAACATCTGACAACCAACATGGCAAAGAGCATAAGAAAAAGATGAAAAAAATGTTTAAGCTGTGTTCACAGGAATCAACTGAGAAAAATTAATACTCCCTCCGTCCAGAATCGCAATCATAAGTATGTACTACCTCCGTCTCAAAATATAAGACATTTTTGTAGGCTAAACTAAACCTCTTATATTCCGAGACGGGGGTAGTATTTCTTAATATGAGTCCAATGATATCAATTTGATGTCACATGGTTGGTCAACACTTTCTTTTAACAAATCAAAGCATGCCTTCATTTTGAAACGGAGGGAGTAGATAAATACGGCCAAGTTATAACAGCGGTACCCACTGGTTTTGGCATTTTGCATGCAATTATTAGAAGAAAAAGTGCAAGAGCAGGAAATGAAGGTCTCACGTGATCCCGTTGTCAGGGTCCTGTATATACGGGCAGTCATCCTGACAGTGATAACAGAACACCATTGCTGAAGAGAAGTTGAGTGCCGAGGATGATCCAACTCAGATCAGCCTGCGAAAGTTCATTGTATGATTCTGTTAGTTCCAAGCATACACGATACTCTGCAGAGTGGGTGCAAAAATGCAAGCACGGATAGCACACTCTGATTCTCACTATTTTTTCTGTCCAATTCCAGTCCAAATAACACAATTTACCATTTAAACATTTAGAGTTAACATGTAAGGGTTGCCTACTTCTCTGTGGTGTGTGCTTATCTCTGGTTGCCAAACAGGGGAGTCATGGGCTCTATTATGTGGGTATAATCTCTTTTTGGGAACATAGCACACGACCTTTCTATTCCAGTCCAATTATAAATATCAAAATGTGCAAGTAAAAAATCTGGTTTTTGAGCACTCAATTTTCCATTCAAGAAGAGCACTTAAAAAAAAGTTTCAACTCATGACATTAAACTCATCGAAAGAGGCAAAACAAAATAGGCACTCACTTTCAGAGTGATATTATTTAAGAACACAACAACTTGCTCCTCAATACTAGTATCATTTATATTGTCCCGGAGGCGGAGCAAACATGGTTCTCAGAAATATATTGGAGAAAAAGGGCAAGTTGTTTCATTCTTTTAAAATTCATCATTTAAATAGCCAATGCTCTTACTACCCCACTCCACAACTGGGGCCTAGGCGATAGGTACCTGTACCCTCATTTTCTTATTCTAGACCGGATCACCAGACATACAAGGCATCCAATGCAGTAGCCCAAAACAGCATAATGTTTTTCCTTTCTAATCATCCTATGCCCATCTACCAACGCATAGGTGACAAATACAGGGTACAGACTGAGATTTGCATCTTGAAGTTCCAGAAACTGCGAGGTCACTGAAAAACAGTCCTAACTTCAGATTATCTTATCTTTTCTTTTCTTTTGAGGGGTCAGATTCCTAATCTTCCTGGTATATATACAACCAACAAGGGCTGCAAATTTGACCCCCAAAAAAACAACTCAAGGCAAAGGAAATAGGGTGCCCAAACCAATTTCATCCCAACTAAAGCTGCCCGATCAACATGCCCAAACAAAGGTAGGCATTCTATGCAAGCAAAATCCGTCCGTAAACGACCGCGACCGATCCCACAAAGCTCAAACTTCTAGGGTTTAGGGTTCACGACGTGCGGATTTTTCGGGTCCCATACCTTTCGTCGGCGAGGG